TCAAAGGTTACAGGTTACAGGTCACAAGTTACAGGTCACAGGTCATAGGTTACAGGTTACAGGTCAAAGCTTACAGGTTACAGGTCACAGGTCAGGTTACAGGTTACAGGTCACAGGTTACAGGTCACAGGTCACAAGTTACAGGTTACAGGCCACAGACTAGAGGTCCCAGGTCAGTCACAGAGTACAGGTCACAGTAACAGGTTACAAGTCACAGTCACAGGTCACAGGCCACAGACTAGAGGTCCCAGGTCAGTCACAAGGTACAGGTTACAGGTCACAGGTCAAAGTTTATAGGTCACAGTCACAGGTCATAGGTTACAGGCCACCGACTAGAGGTCCCAGGTCCCAGGTCAGTCACAGGGTACAGGTCACAGGTCACAGGTTACAGGTCACAGGGTACAGGTCACAGTCACAGGTCACAGGTTACAGGTCATAGGGTACAGGTCACAGGTTGCAGGTCACAGTCACAGGTCACAGTCACAGGTCACAGGTTACAGGTCACAGTCACAGTCACAGTCACAGGTTACAGGGTACAGGTCACAGTCACAGGTCACAGGTTACAGGTCACAGGGTACAGGTCACAGTCACAGGTCACAGTCACAGGTTACAGGTCACAGTCAAAGGTTACAAGTCACAGGTTACAGGTCACAGTCACAAGTCACAGTCACAGGTTACAGGTCACAGTCACAGGTCACAGTCACAGGTTACAGGTCACAGTCACAGGTCACAGTCACAGGTTACAAGTCACAGTCACAGGTTACAGGTCACAGTCACAGGTCAGTCACAGGTTACAGGTCACAGTCACAGGTCACAGTCACAGGTTACAAGTCACAGTCACAGGTTACAGGTCACAGTCACAGGTCACAGTCACAGGTTACAGGTCACAGTCACAGGTCACAGGTTACAGGTAGGAAGGTACCTTTGGTGTTGTCAAGGATCCGCTGGATTAGGACAGGATACTTGGTAATCCGCTGGGTCACCAACAGGATGCATTCCTGGATGCCATGGCGACGTAAAAGAGGACCTCGGCAGACACGCTGAGCATCATGGGACAATGAACAAAACATCAACACTGAATGACTTTAATCCATCAACATTCTTGTTGTCTATGATCAGGCTGAAGAGGGAACAGGCTCATGATTGGTGCATGAGCACACAGAGGCGACCCTCCAACACTGAGGCACACAGCTGGGGGCGTGGCCTTATCCCCACACCCAGCCAACACCTGTCTCTCTGGGCATCGCTGCAGTAGGACAGAGTCTGGAGTTGTGTGGGTAAGGGGGGAGGGTGTAACCCAGGTGTTAAATCTGAACCTTTACTCTCCTTATTCTGTTCTGCCTCATGTTCCTTCCTGCAGTAAAGTCTCACAATATTTCCAACACAGTTGGTGGTAGTTGTGTGGGATTTGACTTTACCGTTGTAGCCAGTGACTGTGGGTTTTTATGTGGTCAGGTGTGCTGCTGTGACCTATCAGAAGAGTGGACGTATGTGTGACAGGCAGAGGGACACGCTGAAAGAGCAGAGCTACAGGTCGGTCCTTTGTTTGGTGTTTTCTATAATACTCCTGTGACATGTACTGATAACAGGTTGAAACTGTACGAGTCATCTACCGTGACCCGAGTCCAAGTGAATGGATGTACACTCACCGGCCACTTTATTAGGTACACCACGCTATTAACGGTTTTGTGGTCATAAAGGGATGGACATGGTC